AAGGGTTTTAATTGTTGGACCAAGTGGGTGCGGCAAGACTAACGTACTATTGTCTTTAATTGAACATCCAAATGGTCTTAGATTTGAAAATATTTATTTATATTCCAAATCGTTGTATCAACCAAAGTATACGTACTTACGAAGATTAATTGAGCCTATAAAGGAAATTGGTTATGAAGAATATAATGACTCATCCAATGTACCACCTCCAGATGATATTAAACAGAATTCGGTAGTTATTTTTGATGATATTCCATCCCGTGATCAAAAAATTATACAGAATTATTATTGTTACGGAAGACATAAACACTTGGATTGCTTTTATTTATGTCAAACATATAGTGCAATTTCAAAACAATTAATTAGAGATAATTCTAATTTACTCGTAGTTTTTCAACAGGACTTTACAAATTTAAAACATATCTTTGATGATCACGTAAACATTGATATGACTTTCCCACAGTTTAAAGATTTATGCTCATTCTGCTGGAACGACAGATATGGATTTATAGTCATTGATAAAGACTCTTCCAAATCAATGGGTCGATATCGCTGTGGGTTCGATAAGTATATAAGGCTGTAAAGACGAGGTTTAGAATACACAATGGATCCCAAAGTTACACGAAAACTGCTTTTATCACGACAAGCTTTAAAGAAAAAGTATCGTAGTTTAAAACATGACATAGCTCAGTCTCAGTCTGCTTTAGAAAAAAATTATAAACCAATTACTCAACCACTTAATGAACTTTTGCATAAACTAGAAACCGCTCCATCTATTAAACAAGAACCAGAGTATTCGTTTCAAAAGCCATTGAAATTAGGTTCACCAAAAAGGTATAAAATGCGAAAATCTAATTACCGTTTAGCTTTTTCTTCTCCAAATACAAGTATACTTCCTGAGGGGTCAAAAACACCTACTAATTTTGGAGATGAATCTATTATTCCAACGGAAGAAGTATTCACACCAAAACCAGAAGAAACTTTTGAGTCACAAGAACAAACGAATACCACGGATGAGAATATTAATCGATATTTTGAGGATACGCTTAGAGAATTTAATCAGATGATCACTAATCCAGATATAATGAATCAATTTTATGAGAATTATACTTCACCGTTACCAAAGAAATATATTAAAGCTAACATCGAAGACACAAAAGGTGATTTCGATCATGATTTAGGAGTTTATCATGACTTGGAAACTGAAAAATTTTCTATTGGAAATTCCTTAATTGATTTTGATGGAGCTGATTTAATTATTAATAAGATAAGATACAAAGGAACGCCAGGTCTCTATGAGTTACTTTTTAAAGTAAACCCCCAATCGTATAAAAAAACAGATGTTAATGAGTATATTGATATTTTACGTAGAACAAATGCAATTTATAGAAACCATAACCCAGAATTGCCTATAAAAAGTATTCCATCAAAAATAAAGGATAAATATAATTTCATTATTAAACCAGCTTTGGAAACGAGACCCAAACCATTTAGAAGTCGTTTAAGTTCACTCCCCGGAAATTTAGCAAAAGGCCCTGTTACCCGAAACTTAGCTAAAAGTTTAAAAAAAAGGGTGGTGCGCTTTTCAAAAAATATAGTACCAAGCAATTAGAGTATAAATACTTCGATGATTTTAATGAGCTCATAGATAGATTGCGACTGCTTGTAGCTTCAAAAGCTGCCGGTAACGACGGACACGTGAATGAAATTATATCTATAATTGAAGAACTTCGAGAAGGTGGTATAATACAGTAATGCCTATAAATAGATTCGGAAGTCATTTTTTAAACAATTGTCAAACTCCTGATTCATCTTCCGCTCCATTATATTTTGTGTGTGATCCTTCATCTTTTTATAGTAAATGTGTATTAACTTTCAAAGGAACAAAAGCAACAAACCAAAACAAAGAATATTATATATTGGATAGTGGTTTATTTTCATATCAATTTACACTAAGTGGTACTATTGATAATGTGCAAATTAATGTTTCAAGTGGAGAAGTAATGATAACCTCGAAATCAGTAAATACAGAGTATAAATATGAGCAGTTACCAGGAGTAAAGATTTTTCAAGGTGATATAATTTCTTTTAAACTAGATAAAGATTCTAATTTTGTGGTATATATGACCCTTCGTTGTCCTTTAGAAAAAGATGTCAAACATTAAATTAAAAATCGTACACGAATTGCATAAACCGGCAAAAAAAATTTTAGACGGAGACATGTGATCATCAAAGGATTAAATGATCTGATTCAAGCAGATTTAGCTATAATGATCCCTTATGCCAAAGTTAATAATGGATACCAGTATATTCTCGTTGTAATTAATGCGTTTAGTAAATTTGTGTGGGCCGAACCTGTCAGAAGAAAAACAGGAACTGAAATTACTAAAGCCATGAAAAAAATTTTAAATCAAATGAAGAAGCCACCAAAAAACCTTCAAACAGATTTGGGTAAAGAGTTTTATAATTCTCAATTTCATGAACTCATGAAGTCACATGGTATTAACCACTACAGCACATTCTCGAATTTAAAAGCCTCTATTGCTGAAAGAGTCATCAGAACAATAAAATCGATGTTGTGGAGGCAGTTCAGCTTGCAGGGGACTTACAAATGGGTGAATAATCTTTCTGATATAGTAACAAAATACAATAATACCAAACATTCGACTACAGGTGCCATTCCTAGCAAAGTTAATGAAAAGAATGCCAGGAATATAACTGCATATAATTACCTTAAAATCATTGACCCCAGGAAACATAAATTTAAAGTTGGTGATCACGTCCGAATTTCGAGATATAGAAATTTGTTTACTAAAGGTTATTTGCCCAACTGGACAAATGAGATTTTTAAAATAAGAAAAATCAAGCAGACAAATCCAGTGACTTACTTATTAGAAGATTCACGCAAAGAAGAAATTCAAGGGGCGTTTTACAGCGAAGAATTAAAGAAAACCCAGTACCCTGATGTCTACTTGGTGGAGAAGGTATTGAAAAGAAAGGGCAATAAGGTGTTTGTGAAGTGGTTAGGAATGGATGTTACACATAATTCATGGATTGATAAAAATAATGTATTATAATATTAAAATAAAAATTGTTTTTTACAAAAAAGGTTTTATTTTTTATTTAATAGGATATATAATCCAACATACACAAAGTTTTGTTTACATCTAAATATTGGTTCATGGTTTACATTCGTTTTTACTTATGTAAATACTTAATAACAAAAAGATAAAATGCACCAAACTAAGAAGCACATTTAGATATAAATTTGTATTTCCTGTTAGTTGACGCTTTTTGGTTTTTATGTCTTTACTAATCTCATATTTAGGAAATTTGTTTTCGATTTTCATTTCTGGTGTTGATTTATAATTTTTCTGGCACTTGGAAAATTTGGAGTAAATTTTTTGTGCAAAACTACAGTTTGGACTGAATTTGATGTGTTCTTTATATACATTATCAGTAAATAACCAATTATAAATTTCTACATGACACCAAAAGCACCTTACAATATCTTCTTTTTGTAGATAATAAAATCCATATACTGCTAACTCAACCGAAGGAACCAATCCTCTCCAATTTTTAAGTCTGACTTATCTTCTAGACACATAGTGACTATTAGGTTTTAAAAGATATTCTGCTAGATATAACTTAAATAATTTATTTATGTAGTGGAAGGGGGGAGTGTGGTAAATTAATATATTTAATTTTTTTCATGTATTTATTTCTATGGCTTACATCTAATACAGGATTAATAATTTTAGCAAGTTCTTTTATCCTACGTTGAAATCTTACTCTGTCAGCAGCTACAAACTCCCAGTACCTCGTTCTGCATAAACAAGTTGCTTCAATGTAGTGAATACGAACATTTTCATTAAATTTGATCATTGAGTAGCTCTGGATATCTATGAATTAACTCTAGCGCCATACCGTAAGTTGTTTTATTTATATTCTTTATTGGTTCCATTATTTTCAGCCCAGTTTCAATAGCATTATTTGAATCAATTCCCATCTTTAGTATTTTTAAGGAACTGATAAAGTTTTCCTTTTTCAAAGTTTCCAAATGGTAGTTAATTATTGGAAGTGTTATCCACAGAGATGCAATGGAGTTTGCACCCAAAATTATCTGTGACTCGCCATTGGTAACTTTCACAACTGACATGTGGGGTAGTTGCATGAACTCTAGTTGTATTTTACCATCATTAATCGATTGTTGGGGATTCCCTGCCATGAAACTGTCAATTGCACATTTATGTGATAAAAAGTTTAACCACTCAGGTTCACTAAACAAAACCCGATCTTGTTTGTTACCACTGATAACAACTACCGGTTCAAAATTTAATTCATGTGCTAGGCACAGAGAAACAAATTTTGAGTTCGATGGGTTCAGGTAAAACCGGCGTTCACCCAAAAATACGTTTCGAAATGTAGCACTCATTTTGAAATTATGATCCATGTGTGCAAGTCTCGGGTTCTTATACACATTTTCCTACCCCCCTACTCTGTCCACTATTACCACACTGCAGGATGTTCCTTCTCATTTTGCACGCAATATATCATATATTCCCCCACCCTACTACTAAATGTTATCTGGACTAACAGGTCATTGACCTCCTCCTCCTCAGTTTACAAACGTGGTATATATCAAACCGGATGTTCACTACCAGATGTCCAGGTCGTTAACCTTGAGTTATTTTTAGACCGGATATTATCTAGACACACGACATGGCCAGGTCACTGACCCTCGGCTATTTTTAGATATTGGTCATTAACCTCGAGTTATTTTTAGACCGGATATTGTCTAGACACACCAGATGATCAGATCACTGACGTTCAGCTATTTTAAGATATTGGTCATTAACCTCGAGTTATTTTTAGACAGGGTACTGTCTAGACTAACGGATATCCAGTTAATTGACCCTTGAGCTATTTTTAGATGTAAAAGCAGATGGCAGTAACCCCCTCTTTATACTACTTGAAAATATATAAACTGATGCATTTAGGATCTTTGTGATAATATCAAAATGGTGCTAGAAAATGAAAACCAAGAAATGGTTGAAGCAGACGTAAATTTTTTGGATCCCATAGCGCCATATGAAGCTGAAGATAGTGACAATGTCTCTACTGATGGAAGTTTTATTTTTTCGGTATCTACCGAGAATTTATCAGACATGGAAGACAGTGAAGTTTTAGATACTGATTCCGCGGAGGTAGAAAACAAAATATTCAAAATGGACAATGTAAACAACGTGCGATTTCTGTCATATGAAAGCAGATACTCAGTTTGCATAAGTCAGCACTATTATGTGATAGACAATACCACTCTTTGTCCTTCTTGTTTTTTTGAGACTGTGAGCGGAGTGCCATCATACGTCCCCACTACTCATATTACAGAACATTCAAGTGGAAAGGTCAGTGATTTGAGTGCACATATTTGTATGTGCTGTAATAAAAACTTGTATATTTACTGTTTATCCACATATTGTATTGTTTGCAATAATATAAATCTACAACAATAAAAAGGTTTTAATTCTATTCCCTTTTAATTAATAAAAAAAAAATAATAACCCCTTGTATTGAATTTTAAACAAATAAGTTATACATTTTCGAATTTGTTATTTTTTTTCCTATTGATTGATATGCAACACTGTATTGTTTTGACAAAATTTTTATGGGTGAGGGTTAACTACCCCCGTTAATAATTATTACTTAAAATTTTTTTTCCGAGTTTTAACTAGACCTACACTTGTAAAATAAGATTTAAAAATATCTTCTCTTAATTTTCATAAATACAGTGGAAATTAATTTATTTAAGTGCAAATAAAAAAAAGAAATTAACCCCCTTGTATTAAACTTTAAACAAATAAGTTATACATTTTCGAATTTGTTATTTTTTTCCCTATTGATTGATATGCAACATTGTATTATTTTGATAAAATTTTTATGGGTGAGGGTTAACTACCCCGTTAAAAATTGTTACTTAAAATTTTTTTTCCAAGTTTTAACTAGACCTATACTTGTAAAATATGATTTAAAAATATCTTCTCTTAATTTTCATAAATACAGTAAGAAATAATTTTTAAATCAATTATTTATTTAGGTAAAAAATGTTAACTCCGTTTATGGACTTAAAATTCTATTTTTAATTTCATGTGTCCCTATTTGCAATCATAAACTTTATGAATTTCAGTCTTTATTCGTTTCTCGGTTAAAAGACCTATAATTATCGCGTCTGGCAAAGTTTAGCGATATATGATTTCTGTGATTTGTGTGTGTGTGTGTTATGAATTTATCTATTGGAATATAATATGTATTATTTAGGTAAGTCTTTTAGAATATATCATTAGATTTTTTTTATGCCATTATTTGCAAATTTGCTTTCTATAAAATACAAAATAAAGTCAACAAAAATGTTGACTTTATTTTGTAATTTGTGTGTGTGTGTGTGTATAGTTGCATAGCTGATGTCTACAGGTGGGGTTGAAAATTAAACAAAAAAAAATATTTAAAATGTTATTTTATTAAAATTAGTTCATACAAGTTCTGTCTATATTTGAAAATGAAAGTAAAATTTTCATTTTAGAATATGTTTCTTTGACTAAATAAATTAATAGGCAAAATGCTATTAATTTACATAGTAAAACAAACAATTAATTTACATATTTAAACAAACAATTTACAATAAAATATAAAATCACTGTAATCCACAATATTTTTCCATAGGTTTACAAGTTAAGATCGATGTTAGAATTTGATTACATATGCCAATGTTTTTATTTACTTTATCCAAAGTTTTTTGCACTTTATCGCGTTTTTCTCGTAATCACTAATCTTCCTAAGTAGCACTTGTCGTTGACTCTGGTTTTCTTCTAAAAAACAAGTATTTTCAGTTACAAATGTTTGAATTAGTCTACCATACCCTTCATCTTTGGTTTTAGCGGTTCTCAATATTATCATAATTTGTGGTAATATTTAGGCCGGCTTCTGCTTTTTCAGCATTTGGTTGTTGTTCTTCCATGCTTTCAATAAAATCGTCACTTTGAATAAGATTGGACATATTACCTACTTGTTTTTCTTCTTCTTCTTGGTCAGATTCATCTTCTGACGACACAGCATCGTATTTGGGGTCGATTATTGGGGTGGATGAAACCATAACTTGCTGCTCGAATTGCTTGTACTCCATGGGCCGGTGACAACTAAAATCTCCTTCGGTAAGTTCGACACTGGAATTGAGATTAATCCCGTTAAATTTTTTCCCGGCCACGCTGGTCAACTTCACTTTCACTTTTGCACTTGACAGAACTTGTACGAACTAATTTTAATAAAACTAATAACCACACTATTTCTTCATAGGTTTACAAGTTAAGATCGATGTTAGAATTTGATTACAGATACCTATGTTTTTATTCACTCTGTCCAAACTTTTTTGCGCAATGTCGCGTTTTTTCTCTTAATCACTAATTTTCCTAAGTAGCACTTGTCGTTGACTCTGGTTTTCTTCTAAATAACGGGTATTTTCACTTACGAATGTTTGAATTAGTCTATCATACTGTTCATCTTTTACTTTAGCAGCTTCCTCAATATTAGCATAATTTGTGCTAATATTTAGGTGTTCTTCTACTTTTTCTTCTTCCATGCTTTCAATAAAATCATCACTTTGAATAGGCTTGGACACATTACCTACTTGTTTTTCTTCTTCTTCTTGGTCAGATTCATCTTCTGACGACACAGCATCGTATTTGGGGTCGATTATTGGGGTGGATGAAGCCATAACTTGCTGCTCGAATTGCTTGTACTCCATGGGCCGGTGACAACTAAAATCTCCTTCGGTAACTTCGACACTGGAATTGAGATTAATCCCATTCACACTAGTTAACTTCACTTCGGTAAATTTTTTTCCACTGGGGGACTTTTTAAAATGTGAAATAATTTTTGCACTTGATTTCGAACATTCTGGTACACATTTGACTTTCATTTTCAAATATAGACAGAACTTGTACGAACTAATTTTAATAAAACTAATAGATAACTGAGAAAGAGTAAAGACAAGCAGGCCTATAAATCTTTAAAATCCCACCCGCTTCTTAGTACAAACTGGCGGGTGAACCAACCAATGGGATAGCTAGACCACGCCCATATCGTAAGCCCTTGTCTTGTAAGCTTTGCTCCCCGCCATGGAATAAGGATTATTTTAAGCAAGTGTGAGAACCGAATCACCATTTATGTTTTTTTTCCAAAAAACACCATCCATATGACTTTTACTCTCACAGTCTGTGCATTTTATGTTTCTGCATAGTCTCTTAATTTTTTACAAAAAATACCACCAACTGTGTTTGTTATCTTCTCACAGTATGTCTGGGGGGTTCAGTTAAAGTTTTTAATTATGTTTTACGACAACTTTTTTCTACCAATTTGCATCCAAGAAATGAATTCCCACACTATTCAATATTATGTGTTACTCTTTCTTGTTTTATCACATTTGTTATTAAGCAAAAACAGTTTTGCCTAGTTTCAGTATTTCTGACAATTATTTGAAAATATGGACACTTTATAAATATCTGAGTCATAAAGATTATTTTTGAAGCATACCCAAATAATTGAAAAAATGCATGCAAGCGATTATAATAAAAGTATACCTAAAAAATTCTATTGAATAAATTTTCAATAAGTTTGATTAGACAGAAACAACGTATGCGAACCTTATTATATATGGCTATTTTAAAAAATGTTGTCTTAAAAACTATGAATACATAAATTGATTGGTTAAAAGGTTTATTAAATGAAAATATATCTTAGTACGCCCATGCTCTGTGCTCGCTATAACTGGAGACATTGACCATGAATTTTTTATGTTCCATAATAATAGCAAGCAGTGTTAAATGCCACTCAACATGTGACCTGATATTGCATTTCATTTGCTGCAATGTTTGTCTAAAAAACAAACTTTTTAAGCCACATATGTAGTTGCTGGGAACGAATAGATACTTTTTGCATTTCCGTCTGAGTATGAGAATAATTATTTTTTTATATTTGGCGGGAATAACTACTTTATACAATTAACATGCCTTATGACAATCCCGTGACACGCCCGCTAAAAGAGAAGTTTATTTAAAATTATTATTTAATTATTGTTTAGTAATTTAGTAAAATTAAAATCATTTTTTAGTTTTATTTAATGTCCAATTCAATGTTTTATATACAATGTCCTGCTGGTCATTTTTGCACACGGGATATATATCCAACCGGAATTAAAATCATTTTTTGCGGCTATTTAATGTCCAATTCAGCCAGCCAGAAAAAAAGTAAACATTATTGTTTTATATACAATGTCCTGCTGGTCATTTTTGCACACGGGATATATATCCAACCGGATGTTCCCTGCCACGTGTCTAGGTCCTCATTTTTTGCAGATATCAAACCGGATGTTGTCCAGACACACCAGCTCAGTTCGTTGACCTTCAGCTATTTTTAGATAAGTCATTAACCTCCTCCTCATTTTGGGGGTACAATATACATCTACTACCTTCGTTGTTTCGTTGGAGTCGGTTCCGGATTTGAGCTTCCAGAGATTGCGTGAGAACGGAGGAAACGAAGAAATTGCGGAAATCTTGTTCGAAGTCTTTTAATTCGTTCCAATATTTATTATTGTTTCTGTACCATAGTAATGCTTTCCCGTTTAATGTTTCTGGTAGAGCTTGTAAAACGTGGGTGTCTTGTAGGCCGTAAGCTGTCTGGAGTTCTTTCAACCGTTCTATGAATTCTATTGGGTCTCTTGAACCGTCAAAGTGTAACCCCCATTTGCGTACTATTTCCATCTTTCTTTGTCTGTCTTCCATCTGGTTTTCTTCTATTTCCTCTGGGTTTTGGCCTTTTTGAGTTGGTGCCTTGATGATCGCAACTAATCTCGCTCTTAGCTCGCTGAAATTCCCTTCCGTCGACTGTTCTCTGTTTGTTAATTCGGCTATAAGTTCGTCTTTCTTTAATAGGTACACCCAACTAACCTTCGACGTTTCCGGAGCGTCTGTCATTTTTGAACTGTGAATCACCCTGTATTTGAATAAAGTTTGAAATGCCGTACTGTCTCATGAAAATAAAATTCGGAATTCGGTCGGTATTATTGTTTAAAACGAATTTTTCTGCTCGGGCGCCATCTGTGACGTCCTCTCGTAGGAGTCACTATCCGGGTAGCTTTTGGACAGTCAGAGACAGAGTTCAAAATAAAAATAAAACTTTATTGTCTTCCTTAAATTAAATTGACAAAAATCTTATGTACATATTTACAATTTAGTTTAGTCTTCTCAGTACCTGGCCTATTTATTCAAATTAAGTTTGACCTTGTCGTATGAAATTAGTGTTATCGGCAATCAAGTGTGTTTTCGGAATTTTACGTGAACGATGTGTCGATTTAATAACAGCGGACGATAGGTACAAAGGAAAGAAAGAAACTCAACACGTCCCTCAAGTGATTCGGGTTAATAGGACACTCCTCGACAGTCTCAACACGACTGCTTCGGAGTAC